ACCAGGTTATCAAAGATGGTTCCAAAAGCAGCTGGGAATATGTGTAGGAATTCCTGGGCTCCATGGAGAAGTGTGGATGACAATATCATTCTCCAGTATCTCTACCCTAAATGCTCTAGAAAATGATGACAAAGGACCTCTGTCGCATCCTCTTTCTTGAGCACTAACTAAAGGTGACTCTTTGGGTGCTTTGGTTCCTTGCCCGTTTGAGTTGATGCCAAGCCATTTTCAAAGGAAAGATAAAATTTTTTACGAAGGCTCTCTCTTTCTCGCAGGGAAAGTGTTTCTTCTAAAAACTTTCTCGAACATTTCCCCCAACATAGACACACGTTTGAGTCTTCTATCAAGTCCAGAGTACCTTCAGAGCTTTGTCTTTAGAGCAAGAGGTGGTAGGAGAGAGACCAAGGAAGAGACATGAAAGGAAGGGAGGCCCTAGAAATGGTGGTGACCTCTGCAAGTTTTTTATGCTCTCCCAGGAAAATGAAGACCTTCTCCCCAGTCCCAAGTTGCAGATGGACTTTCCCAGACCCAGAGTTTAGGAGCTGCCTTCTCCACATGATGGTTTTAAACCATCTATACTTCTCTGACTTGGGCTTTTCTCGTTTGTTAAAAAGGAGGGAGATTGGGTTTGACTTGGAGAGCCAAGTCTTTGATCCCAGTGCTCAAGAGGCAAAGGCAAAAGGATAATGAATTCCAGGCCAGCCTGGGGTACATAGTAAACCCTGTCTTTAAAAAGCCAAAGGGCTGGGAATATAGCTCAGGTCACGGTGGTTGCCTAGTATGTGAAAAAGCTATGGGTTTGATCAGAGAGAGAGGAAGAGAGGGAGGGGGGGGAGAGAGACAGAGGAGATTAGTCTATACAAATTATCTATGATCACTTTGGCTTTAAATTCTGATTCTTAAAGTCACACACAAAGAATGCAAACCAGAATATTTAAGAGTGGTGACATCATCCTACAAATGAAAGCAGTTCAGAGGGGAAGATGTGGGGACATTATAATTGGGGTACAATGCTGTGCTAATCAGTTCTCTGATAAAATAATGACAGATGTCTTTTCCGAGAAAAGAGTCATCTGACTTATTCAGACCCAAGTGACAAACACTCACACACTGCCTCTGGTCTCTTTATATAATAAGGTTCTGTCTCCCATGTAACTTGACCATCTGGGCTCCATGCAATACTTATGGTAGTTGAACCTCATGATCCTCAACATTCTTTGAACTCTGAAAGCAGAGAAGCAAAATCGACCTGCCTTCCTCCCTTCCTTCCAGCTGTGGCACTGCTAGGCAGCAGCGCTGAGCCTGGCCACTTCTGCCTGTGTCACAGAGAGCCAGCAAGGAGGCAAACCCCAGACCCTCAGCCTGTGGGATTCATGGGCAAGCTCGGGACTTTCCCCTCTCACACAGTGGAAGGCAGATCCATTCCTCCGCAGCAGGGACGGCGGAGGTTTGCCGTGTCCTGCTATGTGCAGTCCGAGGGATGTTGGTGAATAAGAGACAGACTCATTTTCCTGACCTTTCTCTCTTGGCTTCTCACAAAAGTAGGGTCAGAGGACGGGCTGGGAGTGGGAAAGGAGAGGGAGAGGGAAAGGAGAGGGGAGGACTGTTGCCTCAGGAGCGGCCATGGCCACAAGTCCCTGGATCCCACCAGTCTTTCTTCCCTGCGTCACTCACTTCCTTGGATCTCCATCTTTCTCTCCGAAGCTTGAGGCTAAGAAAACATCCCCTTTCCTATTCATGTTCATCCTCCCTTAAATTCCTTAATGAGAATTCATACATTTCTTCCTTATCTCTCTTTGCCTTTGACGGTATGTTTCCAAGTCCAAGCTGGTCCCCGGATAAAGCCCTAGCTCCTGACAACGGTGAAGGCAGGTGCATGGTCCTCTGGAAGTGGACAGGCACCCTGGCTCCCAAAGGCTGAGCAACAGATTCTCAGACAGCCATGGTGATTGGTTGGAGAAAGCAGAAACCCCAAATTCAATTTGATGGCCTCTGGAGACTTCTGAGCGAGTAGGCTTCTGGGAAGGGGTCTCAGAAAGGCTGTACTCTGAGAAAGGAAGTGCTTTTGGAGCAAGCACAGAAAGGAAGAGTAGAGAAACCACAGTGTGGGGGGCACTGTCCCTAATGCAGGGTGTGCCCACTACCGCCAGTCAGAGGTGGTGCTCCAAGACAGGAAGCACTGAAAACCCCTGAACCGGGGCACGGGAGGGAGTATTTTCATAAGCGGCTTGGTTGCAGGGCTTCACTGGCCTTGACAGCTTGTCACAGACTCTCTAGGGTCCTGCAGAAGGCTGACTGAGGATTCCCAGTGCCCTGCCCCTCCCAAGCCTCTGTGTTTTTAACAGAGGCTCCAGCATGAAAGCCAGGGAGACAGGAACGCAACGCTGGGGTTGGGCTCCAGAAACAAACAATCTCAAACCCAAGGCCCAGCTCGGCCAATTAACTGGCTGTGTTATTTTTGGCAACTTGTTAATGCTCTTTATTCTCAGTTCTCTAACCCCAGTATAAGGGTTATACTACTTCACAGGGCTGTTGCGAGGATTAAAAGGGACAAAGCGAGTGTGATAGCTGATTTTATGTGCTCACTTGCTGAAGGTTGATCTCAGCTTTTTTGGTTAATCACCAGTTTAGATATCACTGTAAGATATGTTGTAGATAAAATAAATGTTTAGACCAGTATATTTGAGCAATGCAGATAACCTTTTATAATATAAGCTGGCCACATCTAGTCAGTTGAAGGCCTTAGGAGAAAAGATTGTAGTTCTACAGTGAGGAAAAATTGCAGTGTCCTGTGGTCTTGAGACGAGACTATACCAGCGGTATTTCCGTAGGTCTCTACCTTGCCAGATTTAGAACTTGCCATTCTTGTGATCTTGTAAACCACTTCTTAAAATTAGTCTTTCTCTTTCTCCACCTACCTGGAGATCCCCATAGGTTCTGCGGTTCTAATACAGCAGATACAAAATACCAAGTAACCCCACTTCTGGTCACAATATGAACTCAATGAAACTTTGTTCCATTTAAAGATGTTTGATTTATTCTTTGATAACTTCCTATGTGAGTACAATGTATTTAAACCACAGCCTCGCCCCATCTCACCCACACTACAACTTCTGCCTCATGCCCCTGCCTCATTCGAGCCCCAGCAGCAAAGGGAGCCAGCTACGCGGACTGAAATTTAAAAGACTTCAAAGTCAAACTCTTAGAAGGAAAAGGAGAATAACTATGTTTTAGACATTCTGGCATTGTGACAGGACACTTGACATAATCTATTTAAATTATTAAAAAATTTATTAGTTTTAGTTCATGGTTTCATAAATTTTATCTCATGGATGAACCTGAAAGTCTTTCTGTGCCTGGCTTTGTTTAACAGGTCTATCATGTTCATCCATGTTATTGCAAATGATGGGTTTTCCTTCTTTTCTATGACTGAGTAGCATTTTATTTTATATGTATGTATGTATGTATATAGTCGTCTAGTTTTTCATTCTTCCCTTTCTCTCTGGGTGAGCACACATTGTCCTGCTTCCCCTCTTCCCCTCACCCCTCAGGCCTGAGTTCATGACCTCCCCAAGAGCCACAGCTGTGTGAACTTAGCCTACTGAGCCCTGGGGACCCACTACCCGGTGTAGGTGGGAGAGACTGGAAGATGTAGCTGGGTGGGAAGGCCACTCCCAGAAGGTCACATTCTGTAGAGGAAGCCAGCCCCACCCGTGACTGATATGTCAACAATTCCAGAAGGAGCATTTGGAAGACGCGCTGCCAAAGGGTTACTACTGTTCCTCACAGAACTTGCTCAGTCACATAGGGGTTCTCTATAGAGTCACAGAGGCCCAATGGCTGAGAGGAGGGAGAAGGAAGAAGCATCTCTTTTAAAAAGGCCAAAGGTCCAGGGCACCCGAAGACTCGGCACTATTGTGTTTGGTCCTAATATAGTCCATTGGAACAAACAATAAAATAAAATGGGGATGATGATAAGGACGAGACACTGGGGTTTCTTACAAAGGGCTTTCAGTCTGAAGTTAGACAGCCTCAAGCACGGTGGCAGTGCCTCTGTTTTATGATCTTAAGCCAGTTGCTTCTCTGAGCCAGATCTTTATAAGATAGGGTGGTGGTACCTTTCTCATTTGGTTGGTCTAAGAATTGGGGAGAAGCAGAGCATCCACACAGTACCTAGAAGTGCAGTGATAAGGAGGCTCAGAGTCTGGGAAGCATCCCTTGACCACAAGCTCTGAAGCTGGTAGCTATGAGCATATTTTGTTTTCTATTCCTGGTGAAGGAGAAGGGGGGCAAATGTGCACTCTGTTAGGACTTCAGGGTCAACTTTACCTCTTCTCTGGTGACCCGATGTCCTCCCAAAGGGGACTCAGAAGAGGAAATGCCAGGATGTAAGTCACCAGCCCACTTCCTCAGAGCATCTAGATGGGCTCAGAGTAGTAGAGCATCCATTCTTTTGGTGGGCTCTGATCCTAGCAAACAGATCCAGCCCTACTTGGCTTCTACAATCACAAAGTGGTATGGCTAGCAGCCATGGGAGAGTTCTTTTCCTAAAGTATATTTTCTGTATAAACACAATTGTAAAATGAAAGCCAAGTGTCAGGGATGGCCAGTTGCACCCAGCCTAGCCCAGGGGTCAATGTGGAAGAGGAGAGGCCCTGTGTCCCATCATGTTGTCAGGATGCACAGACCCTCCTTCCCACACATTCACTTGGCTGGAGCAATTTAGAAAGGGTCAAGGAAGAAAAGGCAGTGGGGAGGAGGGGCAGAAGGAGGAGGAGGTAGAGGCAGCAGTGGTGGCTAGGGAGTTATGCTTAGCCGCTCCCTCTTCCAGGCTGCACAGCCTTGCTAGACTCAGAAAAATAATACTCCTTCCACTGACTTGTCATCTGACCCATAAAATGTACTGCGGGGGCACTTAAGACTTCCCCTGGGGCGGCATCTGTGCACTGCAGATTCAAAAGCACAGTTACTGACCATGGAGGTGGCCACACCATCAAAGAGCCCGCCGGATGAACTGGGTCCTCGGGATCCCTGAGCTCTGCAGCCTTGGCAGCAGTGTGAGGAGGCTCTCGCTGCGTTTCCACGGGTGGGATCAAGTGGAATTTTGGAAGGATGAGTGCTGGCAACTTAAGCTCTGACTTCTGGAAGGCACGGAGCAGGATGGAGGGACCTCTGTGAGTCAGGAGACAGCAGGCCCGGGACTTGAGTGATGGAAGTTCTTTGCTCCCAGAACCACTGTGGCTATGGCACTCCCTCTCTGACATCCCTGATGTTTCTGTCTGCCCATTCTTCCCTCCCCATGCCTACCACCCTGTGAGTTAAGCTCTTACTTAAATACTTGTCAAACATGCTGGTTCTCCCCACATTTTTGTAGCCCATGTCTCTCTTGGCCCTGCTTAAAAACGTTGGTTCTTCAAGGAGGGTGGAGGGCAGGGGAGGACATCCCAAGGTGTGACAGGCAGAGCTGGGTTCTGAATCCTTCCAGATGCCCTGTGGTCTCCTCAGAAGGAAAACTTAAGACTCGCAGCTGCACGGCTACAAGCGTGGGGATGAAGCCACTGAGGGCCCCCACGTATTTTCCTTGGCTCCTGCACAAGCTGTTGACATCATTGCAGGCTTCACCATTCATGGACTGCTGTTTGGAGCTTGTGGCCACGCGGGGCTGTGCTCCAGAGTCTGGGGAAGGTCTGATTGCAAATTGGGAGGTGGTGGTGGTGTGGAGGTGGTCCGGCCGAATTTGTGAAAACAAACAGATGCACTGAGCATGCCCTTCCTCCATAGGAATGACGAGCGAGGTGAGCCCCACCCACTGCCAGCCCACTCCTCTAGTGCACAGGAGTCCAGCCGAGGCAGCAGAGCCTTTGTTCTGGTTCTAAGATTGGGGGAAATGGTGACAAATGCCTGCTGCAGGTAAGAAAAGCAGAGGTTCCAGTAGCAAATTCTGCCACATCCTTCCAAATGTCACTTGGGCCTGGGCCACTCTGGGCCCATCTGCCTTTCCCTGCAAATTCCACATTGCAGGAAAAGCCTGTTAACAGTTCCCAGAGGCCCCAGAAAAGGAAATGGCAGAAGTCAGATGTGTAAATATTAGGAAACTGGGCATGAACATGGGTGAGTGCACTCTGTGTGTGAGGATTAATGGCCCCAGGCGCCAGCTCTTCTACATGGGGCTCCTGTGAGGGAGAGCCTCTTGGAGTCAAGCTCTCGCAGCGCAGCTCCAGGAAAGCCCCCTATTCTGTGTCAAAGTACAACCGGGAAGGAAATCAATGGTTTGGGAGAGCTTAGGGGAGGGCAGACCAGATGAGAGCGCCTCTGACCTACCGAGTCACTGTGGTGTGAGAAGGTGGGACACCCTGTCTCCCTCTAGGGACAAGGAGACAGTGCAGCTTACCCAGCCTCTGCGGCTGCAGAGCTGACTAGGAATCCAGGCAGAGTCACTGAACTCATGCAGCTTCCTCCTCCGACCTGAGGGCGTCTCTGGAGAGGGTCAGAGATAAAATGGCTACTTTCTTCTCCCATCCATCTCTCACAGAGGGGCTAAGGAGCCAATACAACTGCAGGGACAGCTATCCCAGAACCAGAGAATCCCAGTGACACCAGTTTTGAAAATGCTAAACAACCAGTATTTTGAGGGGACTTGACTTGATGACTGACTTGTGTTTCCCAATTTCTGTGGTGTAAATACTCCTACGGCTGCCAAATCTTTGGGGACATTTTTTTCTTAATCTCTTAGATTTATTTACGTCTTGTGAGCAAAGGGTCTGACAGCTACTGTTCCAGACTGTTGGTCAAAGTCTGCCCCCATCACATTCAAAACAGAAAATATAGAGTCCAGGTCCCCAGACAATGGGAGTATAGACCATAGAGGAATCACTCCTCCTGGGGGACGTCCCCAGGAGAGCTGCTGATCGGAGTCCCTTTATTCAACTGTGAATGAAGGAGAAGTGAGTTTTCCTCACCATGAGACGATGAGACTTGTTTGTTGGTGCTGGGTGCCAGTATGTTCATCCTGCCTAATATAAGGAGCCACCACAACTGTCTGCATGCAGAGATAAGGAAGTTGAGGTTTGCAGGTTCATGGATTAGGTACCATGGTTGGTAAATGGAAGAGCAGAAATCTATACCCAGTCCCATCAGTCTCCAAAGCCTGTCTCTAAGCTTTGATGTTGGTCAAAGTCTGCCCCCATCACATTCAAAACAGAAAATATAGAGTCCAGGTCTCCAGACAATGGGAGTATAGGCCAGTGTGGCAAGGCTTCTGAGGGCTGCGGGCTTCCCAGAAAGGGAAAACAGTCTCCCTGCCAGAGCAGGCCTGTTCTGTGGGATCTGCTACTTTCTCAGGGAAGTCTGAGAGGAAGCCTGGCCATCTGCAGCTCCCAGGAAGACAGATTCATTGTGCACAAGCCACTACCGTTCAGGGAGAATGGGATGCCTTTCCCCTGAAGAACTCTTACCCTGACGAAGGCTGTGCACTCAGGACAGCTGGTCGCTCCCTATGGCGAGGAAACACTCACACCAGGTGACTACTGCAGAGCTGAGATAATTTGCTGCTGCAGCATTGCCCTAGTTAGATGGGAGCCGCCAGGGTGCACAGCCAGGAGGGGACCCCGGAAAGCAGCTGCCTGGCATTGACTGCCTGAAGGTTCCAGGTAGCTTCACGCGGTCCCATCTGCTCGACACCTGCTGCGGACGTACAGCTGGGGTTACTACTCCTTACAAGCCTGTCTCAGAGACTGACAAAGGATTTGTTGTTCTGATCTCTGGATGTGTTTAAAAGACATATCTGACGAAAGTATTTGAACGAGGCCACATTTGGTTTGACATTTAATGAATCATCCATGTTGAAAAGGGGTGAAAAAACACACGAGTTCAGGACTGTCCTGCAAAACACCAACCATGGAAACGCGGGGTGATAAAACGAAGCTCGAGAGAGGAGGGGCCGCCTGCCTGATAGATGCCGCCTGTCCTGGCACGGAGGGAGGTCAGGAAGCAGCTGCGAAGTGTCTGACTTTCCTGTCGAGGTTTCTCTGAGCTATACAGTCATTCTCACTGCTTTTTCGGAAAAGAACCCAATGAGATTAGGTTCATCAGCAGGCGATGGTGACTCATGCTTGTAACCCTAGCACTCAGGAGGCTGAAGCAAGAAGCTGGTAAGTCTGCGGCCAGCCTGGGCTACGAAGAATGAAAGAGCAAGGCTGTCCTGAATATCAGGACACTGGGCCAAAGTTGAGTAGACGATGCCCCCAAGGTCTTTCCCAGAATGTTCGAGAGGCAAACTAGCGGCTCAGTCATGGACCTGGGTGACCACCCTCTGAGTCTGTGTCCCTGCGTCTCTCATCCTGACCCTCCGGAGGAACAGAACCTTGGCTTTGTCCCTGGCTCTCTTGGCATGAGTATTTCTCATCCACCGCCCACCCAGTAGGTCACCACTGTTCACAGCTACTTCCAGGCTCCCAGAGGTTCTGACGCAAACTGGAAAGCAGAGCCGAGGTGTGAGTGGATGGACATAAAGTAAGGAGCTGCGAGACTGAGGGCCTGTCTGCTGAGCCCTGGAAAATACAGGCTGCACAGACCGTTTCTCTCTCTGGGTCCTGCCCAGCTCCTCCCAAACCTTGGCACCCCACCATCCGAGGGGATGACTGGTAACTAATAATAGACATCGTTTCCAATAATAACACAGGACTCTCCTCCTGCTATAGAGTCAGAGGGCTTAAAATACTCCGTATGAAAGAAACTGCTTGTTTCATGACTCGACCTTTGGCAAGCATGGCCACCGATCCCCAGCCGTCCCCGGGCTAGCCTGCACAGGTGGAGACAGGGAAATTGCAGTCTTCGCATCACTTACAGAGCCCTCCCCTCTGCGGCTCACCATCTTACTCCCTTCCCTCCCTGTCTTGTCACCATTCTGTCCCCAACCTGAGCTTGCTTCTTTTGTCCCAAGACCATACAAGCATGTCCATCTCAAGGCTTAGACCATCTGAGTTCCCAGGTTATCTATGAATGAAAAACTTACTTAAAACATTATTAGGGTTTTTTGCATATTTTAAAACTCAGTTGTGCTATTCTTGATCGTGAATTTTGTAAATGAAAACATCACGTTTGTCATAATGTTAATGGCTGGATGTGCCTTTGCGTAATAGGACGTAAACTCCTAGCTCGATTGGTAAGATTGGTACTTGCCCTGTAAGCATGAAGGAGGACCTGAGTTCAATCCCTGGAACCTGTATGAAAAAGCCAGGCATAGTGGCGAGTGCTTACAATCCCAGCACTAGGGAGACAGAGACAGCTAGGTCCTGCTTTCCTGTAGCTCCCTGTCCAGCCAATCTAGCCTCTGTGGTGAGTGCTTTGCCAGGGAGAGACCTATCTCAAGAACTCAAGTGACTTCTCAGGAACAATACCTGAGGTTATCGTCTGGTTTCCACACCCATGCATGCACGTGTGTGTGTGTGTGTGTGTGTGTGTGTGTGTGTGTGTGTGTACCACTCTGTGATGGCTAACATCAGTTGTCAACCTGAGTACATCTGGAGTTAACTAAAATTTCAAGTCGCTGAGCTGGCCTGTGATGAATTTTTAGTTCATTGGATCATTTGTGGTGGAAAGACTCACCCTTTCCTAAGCCTATGTAAAGGACAGACAGCCAAACCTTTTCAAGGCAGTCTGTGTAAAGGACAAGCTAGAAGGAAGTGTGTGTTCTTGCCCTGCTTGCCCTCATTCTCGGTGCACTGCTGTTAGAGCCATTCTTTGGGGTTCCGACATATTTTGAACACCAACAAAACACATGGCTGTGTGGACTAAACACCTACTAGATTCTTGGACTTTGTGCTGTTAGACAGCCGTTTGTTGGACTAGCTGGACCACAGCCAGGAAGCCACTCTAATCATCCCATTTGCATATTCTGTCAGTTCTGTTCTCTAGAGAACCCTGGCTAATACTATGCACACATTTCAATAAAGGGAAATTACATGTACCTGAGTGCCTAGGTAGCACATATAAAAGCTGCTAAGTTTTGATACACAGAGAACTATCTAACACCTCTTTAAGATTTCCACGTCTCTAAGAGCTCCCACAACACCTGGGGTTTCACGCATAAGCAACTGCTCGTCTCATTTCTATCACGATGAAAAAAGTTGTCTCCCTTTGAGTTTATTTAAAGGACTCATATAGCACACACGACTCTTTGGTCTCTGTCTCCTTTCATATAACAATGGTTTTGGGGCTTAGGCAAGCTTTCACATATATTGGCAGTGCATTCTTTTTCTTGTATAAGTAGCATTCCATAATATGAATATGCCATGCTGGTTTTAGTGACTAGATACGTGATCTTTTTGTGATTTTGTGACTATCCACGCTGTTGTGGATAGTCTAACACAAGTATTTATACTGACATATTTTTACTATTCTTAGGTAAATGGTACCTAGGAGCAGACTTTCTGAAATGTAGGATAAGCGTGGAACTTCTAAGAAATTGTCAACCTGTTTTCCAGACTGGGTTTGTCGTCAGACACCCCACCCATGGCGTAGGAGAGTGGGACATATTGTTTTCCGGTCTCTGCCTTCCCTGTTCCCATGCATGCAAAGACCTCTGGCTGCCCCGATTCTTGTCTCATATGCCATCCTTACCAAGCCACATGATGTCTGAAAGAAATCACTAAAAATGCAACATATCTCAAATTCAACTGAAGTTCTTACCATTCACAGTGTCCAAAGGAGTGGAAGGGAAAATACCTTTTGCTGTAAGGATGGCCCAGAGGTGGCCACCACTCCCTCAGCCACCATTTCACGATGGGAACCCATCACAGCCTCACCTGGAGCCAAGCAAAGCTGAACAGTTTAGGGACTAGCTTGACAGATGCATACCAGTCATGAGACAGAGGAGGATGGGAGGGGAGCACCCAGGTGCATGAGCCTCCCAACCTCATCAGGAGTTACAATCATCTCCTTCTACCAGAAACTGCCGTTGGCACAATGTCTGTGCCTGTGGTCCATGTGGAATGAATTCCTCCTTCCTCCATACATACCCGGATCCTGTTTGTGGCTCCCCTTCACAGCTTAGAACGATTATTTCTGTGCTGAGCATTTGTCCAGTATATGGCATGATCTTGGAGGGCTCTGGGCTCTGGTTATCTTGTATCCTGAAGTTCCGCACCTACAGGTGTGTTTACTGAATTATTTGTGATAGAGACGAGCCATGCCCACCAGCTTTTCCACTTGGACACACCAGTTGTCCGCATGTTGCGGCTCACCAGCTTGTTAGCACACTTACTCAGGGATCAGGCCACTTACAGGCAGTAAGGAGTGAGAATGCTGTCCCATATTCTGAATCTTTCTTCCGCCCATCACCTGCCACTTGACTCCATATTTTCAAGGTGGGTACCTTGCACAATTTATCCTGAATGCCATGTGGAGAGGAACCCCCTGCTGCCTTCTGGCTGAGATCTGGGCCCTGACAACTCAGTTATCACATCCCATCGGACACCGTGTGAACCAAGGCAACTCACAGAAGGGTGGCCAGTCCCTTGTCCTCCCATGGCCTTTCCTCATGTGCCGTGAGGTAGCCGCGAAGTCTCTGTCTTCACACTCAAACGGAAAGTGGTGTCTAGATACGGTACCCAGGGTGTATGTAGCTTAACATGCTAACGAGTCACAGTTTCTTGGTTTATTGATCTGAGCAAGATCTCACTATGCGGCCTTGACATTCTCTGAGCTCTCAGGCTTCCTGTGTCAGCCTTCTTACAGGTGTCTGTCAGCTTCCACAGGCTTTATACATTTCTTCCGTGCCCTGTTTGATGATAAGCTCCCGGATGTCGTGTGCTAATTTTTCCTCTATTTGTTTAATTAAAGAATAATTACTGAGAATCTGCTGTAGGCCACTCATTATTCTAGGTGCTAGAGATAGGACAGCGACAAGAAGAGCGGCACTGCCCGCAGGAAGCCTGCAGTGTTACACTTGTGTTGTGACAAATATCTGAGAGGCATGCGCTTAGCACGACCCTGCATTGTTGGGATCATGGTTTCCATGGTTGCCAGCCTCTGCTGAGAACCACGAGCTTAACATGACCGTGCATTGTTGGGCTCATGGTTTCAGGGATTTCATTCCATGGTTGCCTTGCATCTGCTGCTTTGGGCCTGAGAGGGGGCCCCAAACATGGTGTCAGAAGCAGGCGTCAGAGGTTTCTCACTTCAGAGCAGTCAGGAAGCAGAGAGATAGAAGACACTAGAACGAGAACGTGGCACTGGGAAACTCCTCAGTGACCTACTTTCAACCTCTGACTTTTTACAGCCTCCCGACGATGCCCTCAGTCTCTGAACCCATGGAGATATTATTCTGCTGATGAAGACAGAGCCCTCAGGATCTGGATCTCAGGTATACGTTCCCAGGCCCATTGTTTATAAAGTATTAAGTGCTGTGCATGTTTTCTGCACCCCACTTGACTATAAGTCAGGTATTTCCAGAGAGCTCATCAGCGGGCAACCAAACCCTAGCCATTCTTCCGGGGACATTCCGGATTTAAACCACAGTACATAAAAGGCACAGACATGGTGAGTGTTGAAACAACAGAAGCAGAAACCCCCACGTTTTCGCTCAGACAGCATCCTTCCTGCCCTTCCCAGAAGCCCATTTTACCCCTCAGTGTGCTCCCCTACTGAGCTCTAAGACTCCCAGGACTGGGGCACTGCAGTGTTCTGGCCCCTGGAATTGTGCTGCCGCATAGCGAACACTTCACTAATGTTCATGGATAATGCATAACAATGTCTACCTGTTAGGTTTCTATGCTGTGATGAAACACCACCATCAAAATCAAGTTGGGAAGGAAAGAATTGTTTGGCTTACACTTCCACAGCACTGTTCCTCATCGAAGGAAGTCAGGACAGAAACTAACAGGATGGGAACCTGGAGGCAGGAGCTGATACAGAAGCCATGGAGGTGTGCTGCTTGCTGACTTGCTTCTCACAGCTTTCTCAGCCTGGTTTCTCATAGAACCCAGGGCCACCAGCTCAGGGTACCACCCACAATGAACTGGACCCTCCCCCATCAATCACTAAACAAGAAAATGCCCTAGAGGCTTATCTACAGCCTTATCTTACAGAAGCATCTTCCCAACCAAGGCTCCCTCTCTCTCTCTGAAGACTCTAGCTTGTGTCAATTTGACAACAACAACTCCCCCCCCCCCAAAAAAAACTAGCAGCTCATGATTACGATGTTTGCTATTAAGATTATTATTAAAGTATTATTAAGAGCCCAACAACTTTAAGGGACTGAGAGTTTGCACTTACTGTCTTAACTAAGACAGTAACATCCTCCCCTCAAAGTACTCATTGTCATCTGTTTCGGAGAAGCTCCGGTAATTGAAGTGACGGTCCCTGATGCTGCATGGCGAGCAGCAAGAGCCAGAACCAACCCTGGAATTCACGCACTCTCCTCAGAACCACGCTGTGACCCACAGGGATTTGTAATGCCCCATATATTCTGTTTCAACAATGAGGAGCCACAACTACAGTCCACCATTCCTGAGAGTTGAGCAATTCATCCCCCTCTGCCATTTGCCCTGGCCAGCTCTGCTGCCTGCCCAGCAGAAGGAAGGTGGGGGCTTGTGGTAATTACAGACTATGTTGTCCTTTTCATTTATGTCTTCACAATCCAGCCTGACACCGTGTCATAAAAGTTTATGTACTGTGTTCTCTCCGCTCCTCACTAATATTCGCCGGCATTCTCCCTGGCCATCCTGAATCAATACCGTCTCTCCCTCTCTCAATAAAGAAGGGAGCGGTGAACAAGGCCCAAATGTGCACAATGACTATTTGCGGCAATTAGACGTCACTCTGAAAAATGACCACTCTGGAGGAGAGTGCACAAGATCTAAGGACTGGCACAGCCCTAATGTCCCTCACCAGAGACGCTGAAAATTGCGTGGCTTAAAAAATATCTCCCCTCTCCTCACTTCTTCTCTTTTCTCCACTATCTTGTCTTTCTTTCTCGCCAGAGATATGGAGAGAGAAGAGCATTCAAATTAGGGACCCCGGCAATCGATTTTTACTTGCAGTTGGTGGATTGTAATCAATGTTAATTAACCAGGTTCTTTTTCAGTCCAGGTTTGGACAGGAGAGTAACTGCACAATATTTTTGACCAAGACAAAGGATATTAATGGGCTTTGGTCAGTCAGAGGGCAAGATGGGGAGGAGGGCTTATGTTGAGAGAGTCTTGGAGGAGAGCGAAGGCTGGGGCTGCTCTCAGGTGGCCCTGTCCGTGACCTTAGCAGCTTTCTTGAGAGCCTTAGCATGGTGTATCAGCTGCCTGCATGTCTGCAAGTAAGAAGCAGACCTTCTGTCCTAGGTAGGGTACGTGTCATCCGTGAACAGCTCCCACAATAAAATCCTCATGAGGGAGATGGTGTCTTTGGCCACCCTAAATCAGAGCTCACATCTGGACACTGTGGCCATTGGAAAAAGCAGGGAATTTAACCCAGAGAGCACTTCCTGGCTGTGGAATTGTCCCTTGGTTTCCTTGTGCACCATTATCAGGACCATGGCCTCAGGATGCGTCTGAAGAATGATTCTACGCAGAGGCACACTGTGACATGCCAGGGGAAGGTCAGAGGTGCCCTCTGAAAGGTGCCTTGTGCTTTGGGATGTGTCAAGTCCCTGGTGTTGTGACAGATAATGGCTCCTCTTCACCCAGGCACTTTTGGGAGTCTTCCTCTTGAGAATGAAACTAGAGAAAATCTTGGGAAGGAAGTGGAAAGAATGTAGGAAAACGAAACAGAAGGTGGCAAAGACTTACGCATCAGAAGGCAAGCTCTCTGCTGCATGCTGGGGACCAAAAGGAAACTGTTGTCTCTTGTCCAAGGTGCTCACAGAATTCTGAGTTGGGTGGGAAGGAGGCAAATGGCAGATAGCATGTTCACCTGGGGGACACACTGGTGGGTTCAGGATCCTGCTGGGAAGGAGCCTCCACAGAAAAAGTATCTTCAGCAAAGAGAAGCAAAGAGCAGGTGGACAAGGGGTGGAGGGAGAAATTGGGTGGTAGCTCACCCCAGGAGTTACATAAACAGCTTCTAGGCAACATTGCTTTCAGTAGTAAAATTTTCATTTCTGGAATCACTGACTATGAGACAACCTGAGGAGGCCCGGTTAGTCCTGATCAGCTGAGAGCGAGCTCAGAGTTTGGCTAGACTAATATCTGTTAGGAACGAGAAATCACCCAGGTGCTCCAGAGGCATCTGTGTAAGAGGAAGTTTTCCAAACAGCACCCTTCCTTTCAACAGGGAAAAGTGCTATAATTTGATAACTAGAGCCAGAAGCAGCATCCTAGTACTCCTCCTGAAGGTCGCATTCCTTCAGAGATATTGACTTCACAACTTTGGAGGGGTTCAACATATTCCCAAGAAGATCTAGTCTTGAGGATGGGTCAATTAAAAGAGTTGGGAGGTGGGAGGTGGGGTCCACACTGCACTCCTGTGAAGCAGAGGGAGGATGCAGAAGGTCCTTCCACAGGTTCATGCAGCAAGTGCCTGGGTCAGACAGTGGAGTGTTGGGATGTGTAGTTAGTGATTCAGGAGCTTGTGCTTTTAACAACGTTTTGAGAAAAGACCAGGATAATAAACATTCTGTGACTCTCCTGCTTAACTCATTTCAGTGGGAAGCCCTGGAGGTAGACCAGTTGACTGTTTTTGTGTTGCTTTCTTCTTTGTCAATTTGACATGACTTTAAACCATCTAGGAAGAGGGGACTTCAAATGATGAATGCATCCATTAGACTAGCATATAGGCAAGTATGTGGGGGCATTTCCTTGATTAATCACTGATGTGGAAGACCCCAGTCTACTGTGGGCAGTGTTGCTCCTGGTCAGGTAGTCCTGGGGTGTACAGCAAAGCAAACTGAACAAGTCAGGTGTAGCAAGGCAGTAAGCAGCGTTTTTCTATGGTTTCTGCTTCCGATCCTGCCTCAGGTTTTCTACCGTTCTGGAGTCCTGGAGAGTTGCCTAAAAGTGTAAGATGGCATAAGCTCTTTCCTCCTAAGGGTGCTTTTGGTCATTGTATTGATCACAACAATAAGAATCTAAGTAGGACAGATGGCTGTTAAAGCCCCTCTCAGATTTTTCCGTGCTTAGTGGCATCTGTTGCTCAGTCTCGAGTGTGGGTGGAGCCTCTAGCTCATCCACCTCCAAGACTGGCCAATAAAGAAAGAAAGGGAACAACCATGGGTATGGTTGATGAGCATGAACAAGAAGGTTCAGTTTGTCACACCATTTCCATCCAACTCTCTAAAGCCTGTTCAGCACAATTAGGTAGTCACTGGAGCTGCTGCTAGCATCTTGTCTTTCCTACCTTGGAAACTGATCCCAAAGACCCTCCCTAAGAAACACCCCAGATCCCCTAGTTTGCAGGGGATGATGTTTCCATTTGATGGCTCCAAATGACGTTTCCATGAAGTAGTAAGGAGGCAGAAGTGCATCCTGCATTTGACCATGCTGGAAAGCATCATGTGTGGTGGTCAGTAATGGAGACTTTGTGGATCTACTATTAAGATCTTGGTAGAGCGTGGTGAGCCCCTAATCTATTACAACTGGTATCATTTAAGGAGAGAGACAAATAAAAATGATAATGGGGTGTGAAAGATAAAGAACACAGCCATAGAGAGAAGGGAAGACAGAAATAGAGACCAAAGTGGCATTCCTACAAACCAAGGACTGCCCGGGCTGGGAGAGGCTGGGGGAGGTGAGAGTGGTCCTCTCCTGGAACCTTTGGCAGGGCCTACTCTCTCCTGGCTCCCAGAAGCATTGGGGAATGAATCACTGCTTGCTGCATGTCATGGGGTTTGCAATGCTTTGTCACAGTGGCCCAATGAGATAGAGAAAGGAAGTGGCTTCTTTTCCAGGATGGGGCTATGGTCTCTGTACTGGGAGGGGAGGAGGAAGTCTGCTCCACCTGGGGAGGGTGGAAGGTCTGTGTTGGGTCATCTCAGCAAATGCCTGGGATGTACATGGATCAGGAGTAAGCTGATGTTGGGACTAATGAGTCCTGGCCTTCAGCTGCTCTTCCCTCCTAGAACCTTCTAATTAAAGTTACTAGAAGCTGTGCCTAGCTTAGAGGATGAGAGGATGGGATTTTCACCTGTTGGCCATTGACTGCAGTATATTTAAGCCTACATGATGCTAATAAAGGGGGGCTTTGATATCAGTGTTTGAAGGTCTGTCTCTGTGTCTGTATTCTCAATCTCCAGCCCCTTGCCCGAAGCTCGCGAACTGGGGTCTAATGCATAGAACCCAGACCGGGGCCACAGTGCGCAGCAGCTAGGACCTCGTGGTCCTTCTAATAAAGGGGTCCCAGCTGCTGGAGAAGGGTAGCCCCAAGGGGGAGGGTTTGGGAAAGGAAAACTGAGAGCTACAGCTGTGGAGTTGTCACTTTCAAGAGGCAGGAAAGAAAGAGGTACCAGAGAGACAGCAACAGGAGAGAAACTGAAAATCAAGTGAAGGCAACGGAGAGCAAAGTGTTATAGAGGATAAATATAACAGCCCCAGGGCAGGGCTGCTGAGGCTGCCTCTGCATTAGCGCCATGGCAATGGGGAGAACAAGGAGGCAGGCTGGCCTGCTCTCAGGACACTTGCAGTCTCCTGGGTAAATGGAAGGTCCTGGCATACCAGACTCCTCAAGGTCACCGCAAACACAGTTGTTTCATTTCTCCTGACACACGAGTGTCACAGCACGGTCGAGGCACTGGAAAAACTTCTGCTACATTTTTGTTTCCCTTTTCTTACTTTTTTATGTGCCCGTGTATATGGTGTGTGTACATGTGAATGGGAATGTGTCTGACTGCATGTGTGTGGGCACACATGTGTGTGCAGGTGCATGTGGAGGCTCACTCCTCTACCTTATCCCCTTGAGACAGGGTCTCCTAGGTTCATCAAACAAACTCAGTTGAGGTAAAGACCAGGGCATGAGAGGGAATGTAGGTGGGAGAATCTGCCCAAACACTGTGAAGGAGAAATGGGACTAAAGAACTACTGTGACTTCTCGGGAGCTGGGGCTTCCAAGAGGTCAAAGGGGTTTGTCCACATAAGTAACGTCAGGCATCCCCACCACACATACACACCCTGTTCTTCTCCACATCCCCTAGCCCTAGTTCACCTGGAGCCCTTTCAACGGCACCGTCACCTATCACCAACATTGGTCATGGTTTCACCTATGGAAAAGGTCAACAAATTTAACCAAGTCCCTCACCTGTTGGTTTCCACAGCCAAATCTCATGAGTTTCCCAAAGCCACATGAAGAGCCTCGGAGAGCCTTTAAGTAGGAGTTTAGGGCATCATGTTCAATCTTCTTATTTCACTGTTGAAGGGAGACCCAGAGAAGCCATTCTGGACAAGTGGGGAGCTGAACCAACTCCTATTCCATCCTGTAAATCTCTATGGGCTGTTGAAGTGGATGGGTTATGTCTGAGGCCCCAGGCAGAGGGAACACAGCAGACCGCTATGAGTTTCTTATTCCAAGAAACTTCACACTTGAAGGTACTTTGAAGAACACATATTTCTGAGACAAACTAAATATTTGGACTATGTCTTCCCATCCTTTCTTTCCCCTCTAAAAGCAAAAACAAGTCTCTGTAATTTGGCGAAGGAACTGACTTGGATGAAAGAGAAACTCTAACTTGGTAACCACACACAGGATGGTGCCCCGAAGTCCTCAGTTCCGACACACATCTTTGGCGGTATCCCCAAGTTTCCAATGAATCACCAAGAAAGCACAGCTGATCCCTCCAGTGACCTTGTGGTTGCTATGTGAAAAGGTCACTGCGATCCACCCTCTTCACACCACAAGCTAACGCTTCAGAAAGCCGCGTTAGGATGGCATAGGAAACCATAGAGAGAGTTCCTCCATGTATTAAATGGTAGCTACAGTCAGCTGTTATGGAGCGTATATATTTGAGAGGACCCTGAGATGTGACATCAGGATCTAAATTATGTCTGAGTGCCTGTGCCCCCTACTGACTTCCTTCCCAAACAAGTCATTTAGGAGCCCTGTTAAGTTGTCTTTCCATAATGTGCCCCTTATTCCCGAGTGTCCCTCAGGCTTACTGGAGAATCTGATGCCCTCCATGCCTTGGTGGCTCGCATCTTCTCCAGCTCTTTCATTCCTAGATAGACACAGTAGAATGGTTCATCTTCATTGACAATTTTGAGTCATACAGGAGACATACTTCTGGGTTTATCTCTGGGGGTGTTTTCCAGAAAAAAAAAAATTGACTAAGAAAGATCCACCCTGACACATCTTTCTCTGGGTCAGGAGCACATTGCTTCACCAATCAAAAGTTGTCTTACACTGGGGTGTGTCCATAGGTCAT